GAAAATTTGCTTTAATTTTGTTTAGCAAACTTCTGTTATCAATAGGGTAAAAGTGTTTCAGAAACACAGTTCGCTGCAACTGACATCACACGTGTCTCGAATGTTGGCAATGCATTGTCAACGCTCTTAACATAAGCCAATCATGTTTTTGCATTGTGAGAGCAACGCGTAATTCAAACTCCCTGGCTTAGGTGGTAGTCCCTTCTTTCGTGCACTCCTTGCCCCCAGGATTTCGCGTGGCTATTTTGAGTGAACTTCCTTAAAAAATTGTGGAACAAAGAAAGAAATTCACACATTTGGATTGCGTTACTTTTGCACAATACTCTAGCCCATTTAGAATTTAAGTGTTATCTCAAATGTGGTGGTAGTCGGAATCCTCAAGAGAGAGAAATAAGTTTTGTAATTGGTTTTCAGCTGGGCATGACTTAACATCAGTTTTTTGTTTTCATTTTTTTTCAGGAGAGTTAATTTATTTAGATAGGACACAGCAAGAAGTCACGAAAAATAACAGTGAGCATGGTTATCAAGGTTTGTATAGATGCTTCAGATGCTTAATAAAATATTCTATTTTAATTATTTTTAATAATTAAATCCCAGGAAAGTTTCTAGTGAAATTTCAGTGGGTGATTTATATTAAGCTCTCTTTTAGCCTGGGAAACTAACCTGTAGCTGACTTGTGGCTTCATCCCGGAATGATACACCACAGGGAGAAGTGCAACCATTAATTGAACCAGAGTTGATGTTTTATTGAAAAGTGCAATTAAAAAACCTGAGGTGTGTCAACACTTACTGTACTTTGACTTTTTTCATTGTAGGTTATTCTTTGACACATGGAAGTTTTTTCAAAAAAGACAAAGATGGTATGTCTTAGCCAGCAGTCAAGTGCTAAAGTGTCGATTTTTATGCCTTGCCTAACTTGAAATCACCACAAGTTATGCTTTCATTAATGTGGGCTTTTTCTGCATTCCAATTCATAGATGTTGTCTCTGGAGCACCCAGATTTAACCACCATGGCATGGTAAGACATCAGTCCTAGGTTCAGAACAATTGAACCCTTGCATGGAAGGAAATTCTGATAGAAATACTGTTACCCTAGAGCTGCAATACATGTAGTTGGAACAATTTCTTTTTGATTCAATATTATTTGATGATAATCTTTTAAGATGGTGATTGTTAATAATTTTGTTGTGACTTGTATCCCTGGCATTGTCTAAGAGATTGATCAACTCCTACCTTTTTGAGCTTTGAACTGCTCTCAGTAAATTTCCAGCACCTACTTGTAGTTTTAACCTTTATTAATTGATTAATTTGTTATTATGTTAATCGTTTTTAGGTGGTCGTCTTTAGAAATTTAGGCGAAGGAAATTTTCTTAGTACTCCGACAGTGTTGTTACCCCCAGAAATTATGGAAGGTTCAGAGAAAAGACGCCAGCCAGGAACAGGGTTTGGCCTTGCTTTGTGTGCCACTGACCTCAACAATGATGGGTGAGGGTCTATATGTTATATAATACACGATATGTCAACTCTACATTTTGATTAGGTCTTACTTATGATTTATCAGAGGAGAGATGCATAGATGACGCCATTACCTTTCTGTTTGTCTCTGTATTACAATAAACAAATAGATTTGGGTTGAGTAGGAATTCAGGATTATTAGTTAGTATGGCAGTGAGGTCACATAGTACTGAGATGTGGTCAGGTGCTCTTAAAAAGAAACTTTTTTCCCTCCTCGGATTTGATAACCCTTAACATTGAAAAATGTTCAACAAAGTTTGAGTTACGCATAATATGTACAATCGAACCCTGTAGAGGGAACTTCAAAATGCCCAAATTTTGTTTGTAAATTTACATGTACTTTAATTGGAACCTCTCGCAAGCAGTGACAGCTTTTCAGGCTGATGTTTTAAAATGCTGTATGGTTTATAACCTCCGAGGAGTGAACTCTTCACACGATTCAACCTCATTATATGGGTGCCAACTGGGTAACAAGATGCTTTTACATCTCTGATAAGACAGCACAGCCTGTTCTTACATGAGAGCATTTTATCACTCATACCTGGTGTTCATGATTGACAGCATGGGTTGACTGATCATAAGAAAATGGATGCAAGCTGACTTAAAGTTTAAATCCCCATCTAACTTCTTGAAAGTGACCACCTCCCTTAAGAAACCACATAGGCATAGCAATTGAGATGGCTGCGTATGAGTGGTTCGTCTGTATTGATGGAGAGGTTTTACCTCGCTGACTACTAGAAACAGTCATCATGTCCAGTGCTTATAGCTGAGATTGGAGTGTTTTTACTGTTCCTTCCATTCATTGCTACATGTACCTGAATCTCCTACTGACTGCTGAGAACAATTCTTTTCCAGATTTTCAGAACTGTTAGTTGGAGCACCGTTTTATTCAGATGATTTACACCCTGAACAAGGGAAAGTGTATTCATATGAAAATAAAGGAGATGGAAAGTTGGTTCTATCCTTGGAGCTTACTGTCAAGAAGGACAAGTGGAGAGCAAACTTTGGACAAGCCCTTGCTTCTGTTGGTGACCTTGATCTGGATGGGTATCAAGGTACAATGAACATGGCATCGTTGATGTCATCTGTTACTATCAAAGTAACCTTTTGTCTTAAAGTGCCACTGAAACGAAATTTTCGTATGTGAGATTTTTGCTTAGTAATAAAGTTTCAACCTTACTTGGAAACACTGCGGACTTTTTTTT